TCTCTCCTCATAGGGCTTTATGGTTTCCAGACCTTTCACCATTTTGGTTACCCTCCTCTGGACAGCGCAAGTCCAAAGAGACACACTTCAATTTGCTCATGACCTAAAGATCCCAGGTGCACAAATACCATGGAAGGATGAGGAGTCACCATTTTGAAAATCCAGTTTATTTTTATTTTTCTGAGATGGGGAGAAATCTCATTACTACAGCCAACTGCAGAAGACAGGAGCCATTGAAGAGTGGACCGACACACAGACATGTTTGTCTAAGATATGGACTAGCCCTGCACCCCTCCCTTGGTTCACAGCCTGTATCCTCCTAGTCTTAAAAATACACGAACACATACATTAAAAAAAGAAACAACCCAAGAAAACATGAAATATGGGGTAAATCTCACAAGGGGGACTCACAGATTAGAAGACCTTTGCTAAGTAGGTTTTTGTGGCTTAATTTCGTGGCCAAGAGGAGCAAAGGATGGACACTTGCTTCTGCTTGTCCTCCCAATGATCAAAATTGTTATATAATCCTGTTCAGGGGAGATGGTGCAAAAACAGACCTAAGAAATTTTATAACACAAACTGGATTCATACATAATACACACACACACACACATTGTGCAAAATAGCAGTGATTTGTGCAAGAGGAAGGAATCTGTGCAAGAGGAAAGAATCTGTAGCATTAGGAAAGGTACAAAAATAATGACAACCATTTACACTCCTAGGACATTCTGAGCAGCATTTCCCTCAGTTCTGACCTCTGTCTCCTGTGGAGTCCTAACACCAAGGGTAGGGAAAGTGTGCCACTCCAGACGTTATTGGACTGCAAGTCCCCTCATCCTTTGCCAGCATAACGGACAGTGAGGGATGCTGGAAGCTACAGTTTTATCACCTGGAGGGGATACATAGGCCAGATCCTGCTGATGATATATGCAGATGTAAGTTGTTCTGCGCATACATAGTAAATTTTGGGACAATGCCAATGGCTGTAATCAGTTGATAATAGTGGAAGCAGAGGTCTACATGCAGAATGATTGCACATTTAGTGTGCAAATACTGCCTTCTTGTTACCTGCCCTCCGGTCAATCTTGACTCATGGTGACCATGTGGATGAGACATCAAGCCCCACTATCCTCCACTCCTCTGCTTAGGTCATACAGAATCAGGTCTGTGGCCTCCTTAAATAAGTCTAGCCAAATGCTGCTACTGATGTGAATTTGTTGCATTACATTACTATTCATTACAGTGCAGTGGAAGCATAATGCAATTTTGCTGGCAGATATTTATGCTATGTTGATGGGATGCAGGATCTTGGCCATGCTCCCCAGCCTGGCCTTACCCAGTGCAGACAACTCTGTGGCACATGTGAAAATGCGCTCTGAGTTGATCTAGGGGAGAAAAGGGTCCAGTTAAGCCTCATCTTCTGTAGCAATTGTAGAACTATTAATATGCTTTCAAGGAATCCCAAAATCACTGATAAGGAGCTCAGGTGGATGGGTAGCAAAGTGCTGTGGAAAGGAACAGCTGCAGAGTTTAACACCATGGTTCCCAAACTTTGGTCCTCCACATATGTTGGACTTCAGTTCCCAGAATTCCTGATTGCTGGCCAAGATAGTTAGGCTTTCTGGGAGCTGAAGTCCTAAAGCTGGAGGACCAATGTTTGGGAATCACTGCAAAGGGTAAGAACTCTTTTTGCTATCCAGATGTTTTGA